ATTTGTCTTGACTTCGCCCTCGCAGAGGTGGACACCACGGGACACCACGGGACACCGCGAGCCACCGCTGGACGGACGGACGGGCGGGCGGGGGAGAATCATTTGTCTTGACTTCGCCCTAGCAGCGGCGGGTTCATTCCTCTCGCGCGCCCGCGCAGCTTCGCCTCCCCCGCGCGCACGACACGAACGAAACGATTTCCCGTCTGGGGGTCTGCGTTCCACTGCAATCTCACCCCCCACCCTCCGATCCCATTCTGATGAAGAGGGGGCTGGCGGCAGGAGGCGAAGACCTTACGGATGAGATCGCGTCGTCCGAACTCCACGCGCTTTTCCTGCGACTGTGCATTCGTAGCGGCATGGAAAAAACTGAAATACCTATACGACCACCCGTCGGGTGATAAGGAGGTTGTGGGGGGGAGAGGGGGGGGGGGAACAACATCTGACTCAATCGACCTCACTATCGATATCACTCAACGGGACACCACGGGACACCACGGGACACTTGTCAATCTCACGATCGATCTCACTATCGATGTCACTCAACGGGACACCACGGGACACCACGGGACACTTGTCAATCTCACGATCGATCTCACTATCGATGTCACTCAACGGGACACCACGGGACACCACGGGCCACCACGGGACACCAAGGGACACCGCGGGACACCTCTCGATCTCACTGTCGATCTCACCATCGATCTCACTCAACGGGACACCATAGGACTCAACGGGACACCACGGGACACCTCGGGACACCACGTCGATCTCACTATCGATCTCACTATCGATCTCACTCAACGGGACACCACGGGACACCTGTCGATCTCACTATCGTTCTCACTATCGATCTCACTCAACGGGACACCACGGGACACCTCGGGGCACCACATCGATCTCAGTATCGATCTCAGTATCGATCTCAGTATCGATCTCACTCAACGGCACACCAGGGGACACCACGGGGCACCTGTCGATCTAACTACCAATCCCACTATCGATACCACTTTTTGGGGCACCACGGGACACCACGGGGCACAACATCGATCCCAGTATGGATCCCACTATCGATCTCACTACCGATATCACTATCGATGTCACTATCGATATCACTTTTTGGGGCACCACGGGTCACCACGGGACACCACGGGACACCACGGGACACCGCGGGACACCGCGAGCCACCGCCAGACGGACGGACGGACGGGATGGCGGGAGAGAACCATTTGTCTTGACTTCGCCCTAACAACGGCGGACACCACGGGACACCACGGGACACCGCGGGACACCGCGGGACACCGCGATCCACCGCCGGACGGACGGAATCATTCGTCTTGATTTCGCCCTAGCAGCGGCGGGTTCATTCCTCGCGCGCGCCCACGCAGCTTTGCCTCGCCCGCACGCACGACACGAACGAAACGAAACGATTTCCCGGTTGGGGGTCTGCGTTCCGCGGCGATCTCACCCCCCAACCTCCGATTGCGTCATCTTCTTAACCCTCTGATGCGTGACAAAAACTGTCCTGATGTCCCAAATCTGCGTTGGGCATCATGCGTGTCGTTGGAGTCCCATTCCGACTCTGTCGCTGGAGGATCCAAATTTCTCTCTATCCTAAGCGAGTCCGAACTTTTCGTATCCGTCGTGGTGGTTAGCCTCCAGATGCAGTGCTGAAACCGTGCATCCACCGTGTAGATCAGCTCCTGCAGAGGCGCCATAGCTCACCGCGCGCGTCCATTTTGCCCGCCACAATGACAGCTTGATGTAGAAGGGCGCCTCGATCCCAGGCATGCCACCGCGTGCCGCGGGCAAAAGACAATCTCTGCCCCAAAAGGTATGCGCAAATTCGTCTCGGCAAGGAACGGGTTGGCCACGACAAGAAAGGGCCTGATACAATCGTCATCTGAAGCATGCGCCAGAGTCCTCCCGCAAAGGTCTTCGCGCTACACAGTGCTAGCTCTCGCGCTTCCTGGGATGTCAACCCGTCCAGTCCTCGTGCTCTGCGTAGTCGTTTCGTCTTGATGATCGCCCCTACGCCCTCATCTGTCAAGCCGGGCGCGTCGCACAGGCAATGAGGTGGTAGCTCGTAAGTCCCGCCGCGTCGGCTTTTCATCCGCGTCGCGGCACCTTGAAAACATCGGACCCCGTAGAAGGTGCATCAGATGATGGATCACGGACGGGTCCGAGGTGCGATCAGTCATTCGCGGCTCCTGGATTTGATCTTGTCCACCCACTGATTCGCGCGCTCCTTGGTCGCGTGCTTCTGCCAAAATAGAAGCTGCTCCAGCTGGTTCCACAATGCCCCCGCATGTGCTGCAGGAAGGTGTGTCCTTCCTGGTATCGGTGCAGATGTTGACCCAGAATCGGTGCAATTGACGGCAATATTCTGGGCAGTTCGGTGCTCCATGCTATTCCACTCAGTCCGCCTTGATGGTGTACTCACGCAAGCGCTGCTTCACTTCGCGTAGCTTCCCAAGGGCCCGAGCTTGTGCTCAGTATGCTGTAGCCAGTGTGGCAAGCGCTTCTGTCGCGAACGTCTGATGTGTCCCCTCCCACTTGTCGCATGGAATGGGACGCGCGGGCAGATGTGCTCGAAGAGCTTGTCCCCAGGTGTGGCTGGCCACCTCGGAATGTTTGTCGATGTCCATGTCAGCCCTTGCCTGAAGTAACTCCTGCTCTGCTGCGTGATGGTGTGGGCTCACCGTGCTTCTCGTTCTTCAGCGGGTAGTGGCACATCCTGTGTTGGGTAAGGGACTCGTCTCTTTCATCTGCGCACCTCTGCCTCGAACGCTGGCAGGCTAAGAACTGTCTCAAGCCCACGGCGACCTGGGTTTGGAAGGCCTCGTAGGAATCGAAGCCTTCTCAACATCTGGGGCCCAGTCGTGTTGGTCAGCACGAAGCCGCTATGTGTGACATTTGGGTATGGTGTGCTCGTGTCCCAATCTGGACCTCGTCCGTACGTCATACTCTGTCCAGCTCGTGCCATGAATGCTGTTTTATGTCATGCGCCCGACCGCGGCGCTCACTCCAATACTGGTGATTCCGCCAAAGGTGTTTGGGCATCCATAGAACACATGCGGGGCTGCTCCTCTAGCCGTTGTACCTTGAAGAGCACACCTGAATCACCCCTCACTGCCCCCTCCGCACTTTCCGTACTGCGTCGCAACAAAACAACCTACACCTCCTGGGAAAAGGCTCACCTGCGCCCTTCCACCTCCGAGTCTCGTAAAAGGTTTTGGTATGGTTGTCGCTCATCTCTGTGGCCACGAGTGGGGACGAGGTCGGTGCCAAGATGTCAACCCCCCATTTTCCGCAACACGGCTGTAGACCATATGCTCGCGCTTGGCGTGTGATGCTGCCCTCGTGTGCCTCTTTGGTTCTAGCCCTGCTCTCCGGACGGCCTGCCACCCGAGTGCAGGAAGTCTTCGGCCGTAATCGGGGATCTGCGCATTTGTGCGCCCTGTCTCCTGGAGCATGGCCGCCGGCCTGCTGCGATCGATTAGCTTCTCTACCAATCCCGAGTGTGAGCTCAGCGCTGTGCTGCTTGGGAAAAGGACACAATGTAGCGTTGGATCTGCTGGGCAATCCCAGGGTTCAGCTGACCGATGAGCTCGATGCAATCTAATCCGCAGCGAATCTGAAACATGTGACGTCGCGAACAGCATGATGATCCACAAGCGTCTAGTTCTGGCCATTATCGTGGGAAACCGTCAGAGTCCGCGATCTCGTCGTGCTGGGCTTGCTGTTCTTCCTTGACGTCGTGGTGCTGGTGCAGCGCGTCGTGGAAAAGGTCGCCTGGCAGCCGCTCGCTGCCACACCGATCTCCACTCACTGCATCTATCTCCATCAGCGCCCGTGCACTTTGGTAAACCATCCCACTCGCAGATCAAACATCTGGACCCATGGGTTGTGCAGATGCGACGAGAGCGTATCCGCAATACCATGGCGACTCGCGTTCTTGCTCGCCAATCGTCAACGTCCACCTGGTGGTAATAGTTTCCGCCCAAGCACTCTCACTCTTTTTGTCGTCCTCTGCCTTTCAACTTTCCTTCCCAACGGGAGGTCAGGAGAAGGAGAAGGGGGAGGAGGAGGAGGAGGAGGAGGAGGAGGAGGAGGAGGAGGAGGAGGAGGAGGAGGAGGAGGAGGAGGAGGAGGAGGAGGAGGAG